TCTTTACAAAGTTTTTCATATTCTTTCATGATGCATCGTTCTTGCCACTTATTCGTTATCCGTGATATCGCTCTGAATCCATAGAAGCAGACAGTAGCCCCCAAAACACAAGTAGCCACGGATGCTCCTAGTGGACCAAGTGGTAAAAATGCTACTAGTCTAGGTATTAAAATCGTTTGTATACCATGATTGCTAATTATGATTGTGATTTCTTTCGCGATTATAGTTGTTGCTTCTCGCAAATTGAGCTGTTTCTCTCGATAATTTTGTCTTAGTTGATTTATTAGAAGAACTAAACTTGTTATTGCACCAGCATGAACTTTCAACGGCCCAGGGATATTGGAAGGCACTTTGGAGACTATAGAGACGAGGGAAGGTGCGCTAGATACGACTGCATCTTTGAATATTTCTTTGACGGGCAAGGTTTTGTCAGTTGAGGATGTCATTTCTCTAACGACATGTCCAGCCACTGTGACGACAGCACCTATAGCAGCCGAGCCTAGCGAGTTTTGTTGTTTAGTCATATTTGAATGTGCCCATCCAACTGCACCTTGCGCTACTGCATCAATGGCAGCATTGAGAACATTTTCTTTCGTACGAGCCGTGGGATCAGATAACAAGTGAAGTCCATTGGATGTCAAGGAACTCAAAGCACCATTTGCTGCACCACCTAATGTTTCTACAACTTCATGACTTTGTTCTTCTGGTTTAAATTTTCCATTTCTCGAAACTTTTATGGTACGTTCAGTTTTGTTTTTCAATAGTCCATGACTTTGTTTTTCATCTACAGTTGTAATTATTTCCTTAAAGGCAGGACCAATATCCCGTGCTCCTTTTTTATCGCCTGCACGAACATGTACACCGAATTGTCCGCTAAATTCTTTCTTCCAGTATGTGGTGTGAATCTTCCCATCTGCAGTCCTTTTTGTAACTGATGGCCTGATATCAGTACCAGATGAAAATCCAGCTGATGCATCGTATTCGTTGCCAATACTTGCATGAACATT